CAGCAGCAGCAGCAGCAGCAGCAGCAGCAGGGGCTCGAGCGTCATCGCAGCGGGCTTCTGCTCCTTCGTGCGCCCGACTGGTGAATGCCAGCGCTCCTCGCTATACACATACACACTTTAGCAAATTCTGACTGCCTCTGCAAGTCGCACAACCACGATTTGGAGTGGTGAATGTCGCCGCTTGGTGAAGGATTGCAAGAGCAGTCGCTGGCTGCATTCACATTCCTGATTGTCAAGCAAACCAGTTACTGCTGTGGCTACCTACAAGTGACTCGTGACCTGCTAGCTGCATCAGCATCAGCATCAGCATCGAGTTGACGCTGCAGCCCCGCGAGGACCACTTGCTCAAGACTTTACTTCCGGTACTCGAATCGGCCGTGGCACAGACAGCTATGCTGGCTGGCTAGCGCAACTCTCACGATCGACTTACTTGTTTGAACGCGGGCTTCGAAGTTCATGCTGCTGCTGCCGGCAGCTCGTGTGGGTCGCGACAGCGTAGGACGGACGCTACGGATGTGTCTGGCTCACCAAGCTAGATGCACGCTGCGATGGAATGGACATCTGCTGCGCTGCGCTGCACTGCACTGCACATCAGGCGCACCGCATTGCATTCATTCGGCACCTCAGCAACTCTTAGCTCCGGAGCTATGTTCCCCACGCAGGACACTTGGCGCAATTCAAACGCCAAAGAGGAAGAGTATCCAGTCACTCGTGACTTGAGTAGTGATGTCCTGCGACGCTGACGCCAGTCATGATGGATCGAACACGAGCGTCGACATGGCCATCAAGACTCAGAGTCAAGAGTCGTCGTGAGTAGTCACGAATCTCAAGCGACGGCTGTTGTACAGCAGCTCAATCAACGCTTGTGACTGCCATGCTTAGGGATTAGCAGGCAGCTGTTCGCTTGCAGGCGGCGGTGTTGCCTGTCATTCCCCTCCCCCCTCCCTCTGTGGGATTCGGCAACGCTCTTTGCCGTCGCGTAGCTCGGGTTGTTCCGATCGATCCAACAAGATGGCAGAGGAGCTTAATGCTGCCACACGAATGGCCCGCTATAAGCCAGGATAAGTCGACTTTCAAGCGGGCACTGCACCACTCTCTCAAATTTGGTCGAGTGCTGTAGCAGTCAAGTCAGAAATCGTTCCGTCGAAAAGTTCGCGAATGCGTGGTTGCGTCTTGCGCTGCACCGCTAGACCGCTCGCAGCTGCGATTGCCGACGTGTGCAGCAGTCACTCAAAGCTCCAAATGTGACAGCGCCTGGCACAGCAGCAGGCAGCTAGCTTCCTTTGGACAAAGACTTCTAGTCTTGAGAGTACGTACATGCAGTGCGACGTGCGTATGGAGCAGGTCTAGCCTAGCACGCTGCAAATCTCGATGCATAGCAACACTTGCTAATCTCCCAAATCCCCAGACTAAGCGCTCAAATGGCTTCTCATCAATCGCGAATTCGTGATTGACCTTACAAATCGCGAGCATGGCTAATTCAGTAATCCTGTTGCAGAGTCGTTCTCTGCCATTCGAGTTCAGGCAAAAGGCTTGTGAGGTGTGTCTCGGAGCCCGAGAAATCCATCCACCTGGCGAGGCGCTAATCGCTGCGGACGCAATGCTGGTGCTCAATCTACGTGCGGGTACCTGTGCATGCGAGCTGACTGTACAGGAATCAACAATCACGAATAGCGGTTGCGGTCAAATGCCAAACTCAAAAGCTTGTGTGTCTACAGCAGCAGATTATCGAGCTCTCAGATGCCTGTCCAGAGGTCATTTGCTCATTTGCTCATTTGCTCATTTGCTCATTTGCTCATTTGCTCAGTGGTGTAGTGAACTGCACCAGCCACGGTCTCTGGCAATAGCCGCCGTTCATGTTCACGCTACTCACGACTCACCACCGTCAAGAAAGGCCAAAGACCAGACTTTGCCCTGTGGCTTTTCTTCGCGCGAGGATCGCTTGAGGTTGAGTTGCGAAGGCATGCGCCGTACCACGGTCATATTCGCGCCTGGCTTCATCCCAGAAAAGCTATCTTCGCAGGCACAAGCTCTGCAAATATCAATTGCTCAAACAGATCCACTATCCGCATCAGTTGCAGCTGTCCAGAGACTCTTGCCTGACTTGTCACAGCTAGGCTGCTGCCCTCAGTAGAACGTGCACAGAACAATCAATCACGTCGAAATTGCATGACCGGCATTGTCGCGGCCTCAAAAGGGACAATGAACTTGTCTTAGATCGAATCACAAATCGATTGTGCCGTCAGGAGTTCGGCCGGCATTTCGACGGCTAAATCAGCCGCCGCGCTGCGTTGAGCAGTAGCTGTACGAACGGCACGCGAAGCTCCAAGAGTCGTCGCTTCAGAAGATTGATGACGCCATGCAGCAGGTGCTAGTGATTGTTGTAGTGTGCATGTGCACACTACAACGCATGAATGCCGAAGACGACGTCGCGGGTGAAGCAGCCGCGGAGCTCACGCCATGCTATGAAGGAGGAGTGGAGCTTTATCCCACGAGACGAAGACACGCAGCTGTGTCGGCCTCAAAGTCTATCATTACGAGGATGCCTTGAAAGCATCCACGCCTTTTCATGCTACAGCCACACGCCAACTCTGGTTTCATCCTCAACTTCAACAAGACGTTTTGAAGTGATGACCGAAGTGACGTCTTGCCACACACGGGGGAGACCCCAGAATCGTTCAATACAGCGCGTCTTCGCGTTCGATTTCGGGAACCATGATCAAGAAGAGTAACCTACCAGAGTGTGTTTGAACAGCAGGGCGAGCAGCCCTTGAATGTCGTGCGAGGAAAGTCTAGAAGGACTAGGCGCTACTACGCGTAGAGGTCATCATCATCGCCATCCGCGCCGAACTGAGCGCCACCAGATTCTTGACGACCTGCACCACCCTCATCGGGGAATTTGAAGCCAGATCCTAGACCACGAGATTGTTGCAGGTTCTGAGCGAACATCTCGTACCTTCGGATGTCCTGATCTGAGACTGAGCGACGAGCGAACTTCATGGCCTCTTCGAAGTGATCGACGGTGATTTCGGGCACCTCATCGATGCCAGCCTCTTCTTCTACGGCCGCATCGGTCTCCATCTTGATGTCGTCGGCGTGTGCTCCGCCCTCTGCCAATCTCTTCTCCTCTCGCTCGCGTGCTTGTCTGATGTCGGCCTCGATACTTTGACGGATTGCCAGCTTGGCAGCGCGCTGGCAGATCTCAGCCAAGTCAGCTCCAGAGAAACCGTGGGTGTGTTTTGCGAGGTAGTTGAGATCGACGCTGGGGGCCACCGGCGACTTCTTGAGAGTGGCGGAAAGAATAGAAAGACGACTTGTCTCGTCAGGCAGCGGAATATAGATTAGCTGGTCGAGACGCCCAGGACGCAAGATGGCAGAGTCGATCTGGTCGGGTCTGTTTGTAGCGCCGATAACGAAAACGTTCTTCTTCGCGTTCATACCGTCCATCTCTGTCAAGATCTGGTTGATCACTCGGTCGCCAGCGCCACCGGCGTCGCCATTTGAACCACCACGGCTCTTCGCAATGGCGTCCAGCTCGTCGAAGAACATGACACAGGGAGCTGCAGCACGTGCCTTGTCGAAGACATCACGGACGTTGGCCTCGCTTTCCCCGAACCACATTGTAAGGAGTTCTGGGCCTTTGATCGAGATGAAGTTGGCCTGGCATTCGTTGGCAATAGCCTTCGCAAGCATCGTCTTACCAGTACCTGGGGGGCCGTAGAAGAGTACACCCTTGGATGGAGACATTCCATACTTAAGGAACTTTTCTGGGTGCTCGACAGGGTAGGACACTGTCTCTTGCAGCTCCTGCTTGACTTTCTCCAGACCACCAATGTCTTTCCATGTGACAGTGGGGACCTCCACCACAGTCTCGCGCAGAGCCGAAGGGTTTGAGACGCCAAGCGCGAAGCGGAAGTTCTCCATCGTGACGCCAAGGCTATCAAGCACCTCGGCATCGATCGTGTCCTCGTCGAGGTCGATAAGATCCATCTTCTCACGGATCTGCTGCATCGCAGCTTCGGAGCACAAGCTTGCCATGTCGCTGCCCACATAACCATGAGTGTCGGCGGCTATTTGTTCAAGATCCACATCGTCGCCCAGCTTCATGTTCTTGGTGTGGATGCGAAGAATCTCGAGACGTCCGGTGGGGTCAGGAATGCCGATGTCGACCTCGCGGTCGAAGCGCCCGAAACGGCGAAGTGCCGGGTCGATGGAGTTGGGCCGGTTCGTCGCAGCCATGACAACAATGTTGGAACGCGCTTTGAGACCGTCCATGAGGGTCAAAAGCTGGGAAACCACACGACGCTCGACCTCTCCATTGGTCTTCTCTCGCTTCGGCGCGATTGAGTCGATCTCATCGATGAAGATGATTGCAGGCGAACTGTACATGCAATGGATTCATCTCAATTAGCACAACGCCCCATGTGGACTCAGATGCTGCAGCGTACTCACTTCTTCTCCGCCTCCTCAAATGCCTTTCTCAGATTGGATTCAGATTCTCCGGCCATCTTACTCATGATCTCTGGTCCGTTGATCAGGAAGAAGAAAGCGCCTGTTTCGTTCGCCACAGCTCGCGCCATGAGGGTCTTACCGGTACCGGGAGGGCCGTACATGAGGACTAGATCAAGAAGTATACAAGTCAGACCTTCGTCCGCGCGTCATGCAAAGTCATATGTAGACTCACCTCCTCGGGGCGGCTTGATACCGATAGCCTTGAAGAGCTGAGGGTGTCGGAGAGGCAACTCTACCATTTCGCGAACTATAAATGGAGCCGCAAGCAAAGAGTCAGGACAAGACCGTTGCAAGGAAAGTCACCCTTCGATTTGGGTTTGCCACCTCGCCGCACGATTACCCAACTCACTCTGAGCCATCTGCTTCCTGCAACCTCCAATATCGTCGTAGCCCACATCTGCCAAATTTGCTTCCTCGTCTTCGCGCTTGACAGGATCTCCCTCCGTGTGGATAACAGTGTCTTGCGCGACGATGCAGAATTCTGCAGGATCCGTCTCAATGACCTTGAACTCAACAGCGCGCATGCCACCACGAACAGTGAAAGTGTCGCCCTTACGGACTGGGCGATATGCCTCGAGGAAGTATGGCTTGAGGTAGACATCAAAGATGTTGCCAGTGAGACCCTCGACGCTGTCGTCGAAGGGCAAGACGTGAATGCGCTTGCCGTACTTGATATCGTGGCACGCATGTACGGTGACCAAGTCGCCGAGCTTGACGCGCAAGTTGTTCCTAGCAACCTTGTTCAGACGGATTTTGCTGTCCTCGGTGTCATCTGCCGTCAAGCAGATCAAGACAGTGTCTCGGCGCTTCTTTCCCCGCAGAAGGACTGTGGACAGCAGCAGGACGATTGAAGTCAGCACGACAGGTCCGTTGCGACCTATGGCTTGTGAAAACTGCAGGCTCAATGCGTAGATGGAGCGGGGAAGGATCCAAGCTCCAAGCTTTGCAAGCAATGGAAGCAGTGCGCAGCAAATCTGACTGATGCACTCACCGGTATCACCCCGGAATAGACCAAGCTCTTCCATCTTGGCTGCAGAGAAGCAAGCCACAGAGTTGTCATCGGTGGTGGCCTCATCGACAAAAAGTCTGTTCGGAGCTGCGTGACAGCAGCGGTAGCGGAATGTCAGCGATGAAAAGGCAAAGCAAGCGGCGACGGAGCACATGGAGAAGACTTACATTTCTTCTGGCGCAAGATTGCAGTGGCGGTCTCGTCGCCACCTGTGCCATCGTTGTTGGCAGCAGGAGGTGGAATGATGGGCTTGTCGTCGCCGATAGGCGCTCCTGGTTGCTCAGACGCCATGATGTCGAAGCTACTGGAGTGACTGCCGATCGGCTGAAAGAACTTTGGGGAGCGAGCAGTCAGGCAAGTATGCTAGCAAGTGCAGATTGAAGTCTCTTCGAGCAGAGAGACTAGTCCACAAGAGGTAATCAGTGGCACGGAGTGAAGGCGATGGTGGTGGTCGTTGATCAGACGAGAAACTCGGCACACTCAGAATTGTGGTAAAGGTGACTCAGGTTCGCTCTGATCAGCTGCGCTTTCATCATAAGCTTCGATCCAGATCAACGCGCAATCCCCAGTCAACAGCAATCCCTCAGCGAAATTGAGACTCGAGCCCTGCAGAGCGTACGGTGAGGCTTGCGCGTCCAAGCAGTCAGAGCGGCGCGCACATCATCAGCAGGTCGAGCTTACGGTGTGGTGTGTCAACCCGCGCATGCGTGTCCCCTCCCCTGCACGCGCATTCGAAGGCCACAGACGTCGCTGTTGCGGGCGCGCTTAAGCGTGGCTCGAGCGCAGTCACGTGACTCGTCAGACGCGCAGAGACCGCGCTACACCCCTCAATCTTGAATGAGAAATCCAATTTGAGCAATTGTGAGAGATGCGTGGTGGATGATCACCAATAAATCACGAATGGTGAGCCATGAGCGCGAAGACAGGTTCATCTGTTTGGATGGCTTTATGCTTAAGACCACAGACATGCACCTCGACCGCACCCCGTTTCGCTATCCTCCGGCTCCTCAGCCTCCTATACAGCAGCAAAGATGAATGTTCTAGGGAGAAGGAGCTACACGCACCCTTGCTCTACCTGGTGTCATCTTGTCTTTCAATCACACTTGCGATTGCCAGGCGGCCGATGTATCGCTAGATCCTGAATGCGTATCAACAAGTATTGCGACTATAATACAAGCATCAAGGCGTCTCGCAAGCCCTGCCAAGCTGTCAGCACAAGGGCAATTGATCCGCCAATCAACACGCCGAACATATCCAAGCCAATGTACAGTCTGCTGGATGCCAAGGCAGCATCCGCTGAGCCAATGGGTGTAGCAGAGGAGTTGAAGTTCCTGCAAAGGAGAGCAGCGGGCCACCCGCCGTGGTCGCGAGTGGTAAAGGCGTAACCAGCCAGGAGCTCATCATCTGCGCACGAGCCCGCTGTCCCGCCATCGCTGGCGAAGATGCCGTGCTGCGCTTGCTCCTGGGTCACTCCGCTTCGACCCATGGCGTCGTGTCGATCGAACCAGACCGTGCGCGCACCTTGAGCGGTCGCTGTACGCGCAGGATCGCTCTGGACCGACATTTTGGCGCAGTACGAGCTTCTACTGTGACCCTCATCGTCGAAAGCGTATCCAACGATGAAGGCTCCAGATGCGCATTCCAGCTTAGTGTACCCTTTTGCCCAGTCATGCGATACGTGCCGCTCGTCCGTCACCACCTCCCACTCGCGCTTTGCACTTGGCCACAAGTCTCTGCCGAAGACGGCATCTGTGCACAGGCCGCGAGGCTTTGATTGGTGAGTCAGGCCGATCAGTCGCAAGCCGTCTGGGCACGAAGCCTTCGTGTCGCCGGGAAAGTAGCGAATATCTCCGGCTATGACGTTGCTCTGCTGCACGCTGCCGCGATCTGTGCCGAGCATCAGCCACCGAGGTACCGATGGCACAGTAGTGTTGACCGATGAAGACACCGTGGCATCGGCAGCGGATTCAAATCGGCCCAAAGCTTGTTGCAGACGATTCCAGCTCGAAGCGCGAAAGTCGTTGGCGCCGGGGCTGTCAATGCTGAGCAGCTCTCCGGAAGAGCTCCATTCAAGCAACGCATATCCATCGCCGACACCCGCGGCTTGCCAGCCCACGAGTGGCCAGTATGCAAACTCGAGATCTCGGTCGATCAGCAGTGAGACGAAGCGACCCCACCATCCCTTGTCTGTTTGCGAGGTGCCCAGACGTCCAATACCAAATTCCGAAATCCACACTGGCGCAGTGTAGTGTTTTTGAACTTGGTGGATGGAAGACGCAACGTACGACGCTAGCCGGTTGATAGTGGCATTCAAATCCGCTGGGCTCAATTCAGCGTAGGTGGGCTCATTGAGGTCAAAGGGCTCGTTGCCGCCCGTTGCGTTCGGTCCGGTGTAAGCGTAAAAGTGCGCTGCGTACACCAGCTTGTCTGGAATCGCAAGCGCGTGACTGAGGTCCTGCACTGGTGCTAGCTCTGGCCGATAATGTCTGGGAGATTGGCGAAAGAGGTTAGCGAGTCTTTCATCACAAATGCCAAGCAGCTGTGATGCTCACGGCGTGTAAGGCGAAGGGATTCCGACGTAGTTGATGCCATCGATGACGATCAAAATGTCCGCGTTCGCTTCGCGATGTATTCGGTTGGCAGCGTCAAGCGAGGCTCGCCACCAATCTGCTGCCCCCCCGCCACCCCATGTTGGATCAAGAAGGATATCACGCCGTACCTCGCTGGGTCATGGCGCATTGGATTTGGCGAGATGGTGTGAGCTACGCCTACGTGTGCGTCTTTCGATTCACGAGACTTTGACTGACTTGTACAGCTCGGCACCGATTACGCGCGTGTTGTTCGCATATCTCTGGACGAGGAACACCCAGTCTGCTTGCCACTGCTGATCCGTTTGCGCCCCGTTCCATCTAGAGTTGACGTCCAATCCGCAGCACCAGATGCTCTTCACTGTGTGGTTGTTCAAGATGACAGCGATGCCAGCCCGAGTGAGGGCAGTGATGCAAGCGTCGAAAATTTGCAGTGGATACATTCCCATCAGCTGCGGATTGGCTCTCAACGCGCTGTCTGGCACAATCGTAGCCGTGTGCAGCATCTCATTGGACCATGGCAGGCGCACAGTGTTGATGCCCAGCGCCAGGAACTGAGCCACGATCTCTTGGAGCGCGACGCGGTCTAGACACAGAGGCGTCTGATACGCCAGCTCACCCGCGTGATGATTTGCTGGATCGTTGTAGTCTCCGCGGCCAAGATAAGTGCCTGAAGCTCCGTGCCAGTTGCCGCCGCGCAACTTGAAACGTTTGCCATTCGCATCGACGATGTATCTGCCTCGCGTGCTCAAGGGCGGTGTCCAAGTGCTCAGTAAAGACGAGTTGCCAGCAACTGCATCCTGCCTGGACATCAACTCGATGCCATCTTTCCACTGGGATGACTCAAGACGGCTAGGGGGGTAGAGGCGCTGGGATGTGGCGCTAAACAATGCTTGCGGTGCTGGCGTGGTCCGAGTAGAGGGGAGTGCACTGGCCGAATCTGCTAGAGTGAAGCAGCTCAGCAAAGAAAGAAAGACAAAGATCCTGATGTGATTCTGGATGATTGGCCTCATGAGGTGCAGCATGATCGTCTTTGTATCCTTGACTGACCCCTCCGCCCCTTGGCAGAGCTGAGCGATATTTTCCGTGGCGAAATGACGGAGTATGACACAGCCTTCGAAGCAGCACTGAGTACGCTGCCGGCGCGTAAAGGGAATCAGCTGGTGAGATCGAGAGGGCGGCGAAAGATGGTGAGAGGAATTCGGAGGCGCTCGCTTGTGCAACTCCATGCGGCTGTGGCAACTCACAATCGTGAATATTGCGGAGTCGAAATGGATTCTCCGGTCGGCAAGTAACTCTCTTTGACGCTTGCAGTTGGATCGCCAACGGCAAGGCAGCACGTCAGGTGATCACCGCGATGATGGACTTGAACGCAGGCGTGCTCTCCCTTCTTGATTATCCAAGATCACCAAGGTCGTGTGCGACGTGGGCTGATGGCACGATCGCCGTACTCCTGGGCAAGCATAGTAGGTGGGCTTCACTCGAAATGCACTCGCGCTCATTCAAGAGCCGGGCCAGTTTTGAGTGCGTGCTCGTGCCGTTCACGTGCGCGTCGCACCGCCTAATTTATGGCACGTTCTCGAGAGGGGCATAGGCGCCGTGCTTTCGGACCCTGAACCTTGGGCTAGTTGAATCACACAGTCACGTCTGAAATCATTCTCGAGCAATGGCTCAGGGACTGTCGGCCTCAAACCTCGAATGATCGTTCCACTCGTCATCATGACAGCTGACCACCAAGCCGAAAGGGGTCATGATGCTCATCAATTCCTGCTGATGTATAGGCGATATCAAGCACGTCTCCCAAGACATATGTACGAAAACAAAAGGTAGAGGAGAGGACAAATGAGGGGAGTTGCGCTTCAAGAGATCGTAAAAGTGGATGATCACGCGATGCGCCTGTGACGGTAGGACTTGTTACAGTCGGAAGACGACCAGCTGTCGCTGAGGGGAGCCTTCGCGGAGGCGGCCGGCTCAGCCTTGCTTGTGTCGGGCCATAAGCGGGTCCTGCCTGTCGCCAGATTTGTGCAAGCTGCGCTCTGGTCTGTAGTAGCGGTCCATGCCATGCTCATCGACACTAATGCGGCCGATCTCGATGGATTGACGAATAGTCCTTGCGGTGTCCATGCTTGCCCTTGAACCTCGAATATCTGAGCTGACGCGAACCTCTGCCTCGGCTACAAACGGTGTGGCGATAACGACGGTGGACTTGCTCTTACCACTGACGGTGTAGGTTAGTTTGTTGGTGTGCAAATGGCAGAGCTGAGCATACAGCATGGGCGCCACGCCGTAAAGAATAGCCGCTGGGAAGGCCAAGAAGTCCAAGAATCCTCTTGGCCACTTGCGAGCAAAGGTCTGCCCTGGACGAGTTCCGAGGTACCGAGCAGGCTCTGGTCCCTGGGATCCACGTTCTCGCCACGCGCGGATCACTTGCTCTGATTCCAGCCAGCGAGTCTGCGAAGCAGCACGGTGATAGTAATCGTGGGCGAGCAACACGAAAATCGTCGCGATGACACCAAACACGGTGAGCAGACGCGCAGCCTGTCGGAGAGAGGGCGCCATCGTGTAAGCAGCGCTTTTGCGGCTCGAGTCGTTGGCACAAGAGGCGCAAGAGCACTCACTCTGATACTGCACATCACGATGTCAGGCAAGAGCCAAGCTGGATGCAGGCCGGGAGCCGTGCCTTCTGGGATAGGCATGTCCGCAGAGAAAGGCGATTCGAAGATAGCCTGCGCGCATTTCTGCCAGGTGCACTGTCTTCCAGGAAGCTCACTGAATCCCACGTGCCCGTTGCGGTAGACGACGGTGGGATAGAAGGTAAGGATTTGCATGCTCAGGAAGATCGCAGCAATCATAATGTGCGCCTCAAAGATGCGGAAGAACATCGCAAAAAACGGCTTGATGCGCAGGGGCGGGTCCCAAGCCTCGGCGTTATCGTCATCGTCATCGTCTGCGGCGCGAGCACCGTCTGATGCGAGAAGTTTGCCCAGCTCCAGATCTTCGCTATCGCCAACGATGCTGCTATCGGAGCCCCGCCTGCTGAAGCTCTCTGCCGTGCTCACATCCAGTCGTTCACCATACTTGCTCAGTGTCCTGTGGTGTGTCTGAGTCACCTTGTGAACCGTGTCCTCGGACTCGGCATCACCATCATCATCGAAGCGAGCGAATTTCTTGGCAGGACGCGGCAGAGACATCGCATCATAGCTTTCCACCAACGTGGAGTCCGTAGTCGCCGTTGTGCTTGGCGAAGGAAATCGCTGAGGATCTTCGACTTGCAGCGTGTTGTTCACAAAGTATTGAGGTGGCTTGAGACGATCACCGTTGATCGTCACGTCGTCGTCTTCAGCGCTCTCATCAGAGTCTTGGGTCATCAGAGCGATGTATCCAGTCTTGCGCTGACCTGGACCGAAAGAGCCCGTCAACGCACGATGGAAAGCGTAGCCGAAATCCAAAGAGCCCCACAGGTGTCGGACAGCTTGCGACCAACGAGCGTGCATATCGTTGAGATACGACAGCACGCTGCTGTGGGAGGGAGAGCCGACCACATTGGTCTGGGACGCTGGAGAATAGATGGTCTGTGCAAACACGCTTCCACGCGTGTCAAAAGTGGCTTTCACAGCGAAATGGAACTGCCGCCGAAAAGGCGTGAGGTCAGCTGCTGCAAGCATCACGGATCTAAGGACAGGGCTGCCTCTTTCATAATCGCTCACGTCTTCGCCCACAGCTTCCGGTCCGCTGTCCCAGAAGTCGCAATGCTTGACCAGCTCCATGGTTGCGGCGTAAGCGCTGGTTGGGGCTTTGAAGCTGCTGCTTGGGTAGATCTGTCCAATACCAGCGCAGCTCCACATGATGTCCGCAATCCGCGTAGTGGCTGGCACTTCTGCACCATTGCGATCGAACAAAGTTGGAGGAACATAGTACGTTCTACGTCGCTTCTCGTGAGGAGCAAGAGCATAGTATGCAGAGATGGAGAGGAAAAAGTCGGAGGCAAAGGCAGTGTCTGCATCCATCACCGTCACAACGGCTGGTCATGACGGAAGGAGGAGAGCATTCACAATCAAAATGCATCAGCGAATGCTCGCCGTTTGTCTGCCAAGGCACCACATCTCCACTCACTGCGGCTATGATCAATGGGTACGGAGCGAGCCATGTGCCTTGCAGCCCAGTTGACATTCGAACTGTTGGCGCGAGATGGGCACGGTCAGATGGCACATTCACATTCTTGCACGCGCAGGGCATGGCCGAGGCAGGCGAGCCTAAGCGAACCCTGATCCGCCTCTTTGCCTGAGACCTGGCCATGAGCTTCATCCCCATTCGTCATTGCTGGACCTGACCTGGCCATGAGAGCTTCATCCATCCACTTTTGGCTCCTGACTCAAACTTCAGCTCGAGATTTGATTCTTGATTCGCCACCTAGTTGTCCCCGTTCTCACAGAAGAGGAACTCCTCAAATTACGAACAATCACGTGAATCGAATCGAGCATGGATGGGACGTGCGTGGCTGACTTGTGCGTCCCCTCGCTCCACACGCGATCGATCAGCAGCAGCCGTGAGGCCGTGACGGCAGAAAGACGAACGCGTCCGCGTCCGCGTCCGCGTCCTGCTGACCGGAAACGCGATGCCGCGGGCCGGAAGAATGCAGCCGTTCATGCGCCGCGCCGCGCAGCATCAGCAACATCAATCAGCACAACCCCCATGCAGCGATTCAGCAACGCCAAATCTCTCCACCGCCAAGGCTGAGTGAGAGCTCTGGTGCGCCTCGATCCCTTTGCCATCGCGCCGCCCAATCAAGCGACTGGCCGCGCCTGCCTTCCCTCGACCAGACTGCAACGCGAGCTGGAGCTCTACCAAATGAATCGCATGCGTTGGCACATGTTCTTACGTCTACCAACCATCTTTCGCATGTCGCAAGCCAAGAAGAGACGTAGCAGGGGACCAGGAAGAGGCAGACATATTCGGCAACACTCACGCTTTTCCCGCACTCTCGCCCAGAATATTGCCAGGGTGCAGAGAGAAGGCGGCGGTGGCAAAAGCGCGATCGAGTCGGTACTGACTCAGAAGCTTGTTTGCCTTTGCCGCTGCGCCAGCCTCGCGCTCTTCCATGCCCAAGCAGACGTGGTAGCAGGCTGAAGCCATGGGGTGCGAGGCGAGCACATCAAGTGTCTGATGAAAAGCAATCACTCTGTCAGGTCCCCTGATTTTTGCCGGTGTTCCTCGGCGCACCTCGCGATGAAGGCAGCTCACTCACCTCTCTCAGAGTCTCTACGGTCTCCTTGTAGGCCGGAACGATGATAATGTGCTGCACATCGTCGATTTCGAGCACGTGATCGCCAGAGCCATTCTTGTCGAGCTTTTGGCGCTCATCGGCGTGGTATTGTCGCCAATCTCTACGAGAATGCTGGAGTACACCTCGCCAGCCGCACCAGACTCCCCAAGCAGTGCGACTCTGGCAAATGACAAAGACGACGTGAATCAGGACGATGAGGAGAGCGATGAGGTGTGGAGCGAAGATGGGGCCAAGGGCAGCAAGCAAGACGATGCAGCAGTGCACGCTAAATGGCGTCCTCTGGAGGATCCAAGAGAGTGTCAAGGACACCGCATAGGCAACTCGCTGCCAGCCAGAGAGCCGCCGTTGCGGTTCGAAGGAGATTGCCATATCGAGCGACGCCGCCAAGAAGAGTGGAGCACTTCGCAGTGATGGACGGTAGCAAGCTCTGAGAGGACAAGGTCTTCCTAAGGCAGATCTGCTGACTGATGACGAGATGAGGGGTGGTTTCGAATGGCGCGCTAGACCCGCTTCAGCGCTTCGCTCTTCAGTCGGACAGTCGAGGGGCTGGGAGGATTACGGTTGAGGGAGGTAAAGGTGGGTCGTGTGACAAGAGGCAGTTCGATGCGAGGGGAGGGTATTGACGGCGGTAAGTACGATCGGTTGCAAGGACTGCGCCGCGACGCTTCGAGGTGAGGAAAGCTTCTGACCAGTGAGAAATCGGAGTCAATCTCAACCTATGTCGAGGCGCACGAACATGGAAAGCATCACTTCCAGGTTGGTAGAAAGCCTCTCTGCACCCATCAGGTCCTGATTCAGCGCAGTCCAAGTGCTCCATCCATGGTCAAATTGGAAAACAGCACACATTAGCACGCGGTACGGCGACGCCATGGGGAATGGCGACGGCGAGAGCAACACAGTCACTGACCAGACCAGCAATCTTGACAGCCCGTCCATCGCCGGCCCATGTGCTTATCCATTCAAAAGGCGCTAAAATGGAGCTGATGCTCCATCTGCTCGTGCTCGCAAGCTTCGCTGCGCCACATAGTGCAA